CTGAGCTGAAGGCAGAGGCTTTAACCCACTGAGCCACCCAGGCGCCCTTAATTATTTGAATTTTTAAAATAAAGATTTATTTATTTGAGAAAGGGAGAGAGAATGATTAGGGGATTGGGCAGAAAGAAGGGGGGAGAGGCAGACACTGTGCTGAGTGCAGAGCCCAACATGGGGCTCAATCTCACCACCCCAAAACCATGACCTGAGCGAAAAACAAGAGTCAGTCACTTAACTGACCTCGCCACCCAGGTGCCCCAATTATTTGAATTTTTAAAGAATGAATTATTTTTATAATCAGGAACAATAAAATTTATTTTAAAAAATCTGTGAGAGGGGTGCCTGGTTGGCTCAGTCCTTAGGCGTCTGCCTTTAGCTCAGGTCATAATCCCAGGGTCCTGGGATCAAGACCCTCATTGGGCTTCCCTGCTCTGCAGGAGGCCTACTTCTCCCTTTTCCATCCCCCTGCTTGTGTTCCCTCTCTCGCTGTGTCTCTCTCTGTCAAATAAATACATAAAATCTTAAAAATAAATAAATAAATAAATAATCTGTTAGAACTGAATTAGTTTCTAAGAGTTTATTAGTTCTAAGGGGAAATCAAATGTATCATATAAATGAGTTTTTTCAGTAATAAACATAAAATATCTATATTACTGAGTAAAACAAAATAACTGCCAGAAATATAATTTAGGATTATGTGAACAAGTCTGGAGCTGAGAATAAGGAATCAACTCTGACTATTCTATCCACCAATGTGAGAAAGGTAGCATAGTCATGAAGCTTGCAGAATGCAGTGTCAATCCCTTGGGTTTTCAAGTAGAAAACAGTCAAATACCATTATTAAACAGTCAAATATAGTTATATGCATTTATTAGTAAAAATAGATGAGAATATCATTTGCATTAAGGAGAAATAAAACAATCAGAGATTCAGATCATTAAAAGCACAAGTGAATTATCAGAAAAGGAGCAGGAACTTTGATAAGAATATTATTAATCCTCTCTAAGGTGAACTACAGTGGTCAACATATATTTCATAGTTATATGTGGTTTGTCTGCCAGATAATGCCTAATCTCATTGCTTATACACTATTCCTGAGCTTTAAGCTCTCTCTCTGTTTCATACCCATGGATGGGGAAGAATATTGGATAAGGCTGGAGGATATCACATGTTAATTTTTGCCCAAGTGCATAAAGGTGGTTGCCTCAAAATGCCATATATCCAAGCAATGTGCACAACAGGTATAGTCACCCTTTTATCAATGAAGCAAGTTTTATTGTTCATTGCCATTCCTATTTAGTAGGCCATCTTTTGGCTGAAATATTAACAGTACTATGTTTATGTGTTTTTTGTGTGTGTGTATTTTAAATTCAGATTTCAACAATCAGAGCTGACTGGATGACCTCACTTACCCATTCCCTGTTCACACATGAAGCCTATCCAAAATGATACTGCTAAGGATATTAACAGGTTATCAATCTGATATTTTCCAAGACTGTTCTGCAGGTCACATGTTTCTAATTAAATTTTCATTGATTCTTGAGAAATAGCATTAAAATGAAAAAGGATTAGATTTGCAGCATACAGCACGCAATGTAAATACACAATAATTTATTTTTAATAATTTTAAAGAGTTTTCAAGGTGGATTTTCAGCATTTTGCTTGCTTCTCCCCCATAAAAAATCCAAAGATGCCTTTAGAGTCACTTACAAGCCAGCAGTTCAAAACTGTACTTTGATTTCCCACATAGAAGATTTATTAGATGGTCAGATGCAGAGCATAATTTTGAAATGTATATAGCAGAATAATGCAGTAAATAAGAGCTTAACCTCTAAAATGAGCTAAAATCCTAGACCCACCATTTACTAGTTGTTTCACTTTGGGAAATGTCTGTGGCTTTCTGTGTCTGTGCCTCTGTTTGTTTCCCATACACATGCATAAAGTTGTGAGGATGACAGCTAATCCATGTAAAGCTCCTCGCACAGTACCTGGTCATAGTAAATTACCATTAAATCACTACTTTTTGATATGATTATCTGTTTTGTGTGTGTTGAGTTTGAGGAGTTCTTTATAGATCCTGGATATCAATCTTTTGTCTGTACTGTCATTTGCAAATATCTTCTCCCATTCCATGGGTTGTCTCTTTGTTTTCTTGACTGTTTCCTTTGCTGTGCAGAAGCTTTTGATTTTGATGAAGTCCCAAAAGTTTATTTTGGCTTTTGTTTCCTTTGCCTTTGGAGACATATCTTGAAAGAAGTAGCTGTGGCTGATATCGAAGAGATTACTGCCTATGTTCTCCTCTAGGATTCTGATGGATTCCTGTCTCACGTTGAGGTCTTTTATCCATTTTGAGTTTATTTTTGTGTACGGTGTAAGAGAATGTTTGAGTTTCATTCTTCTACATATAGCTGCCCAATTTTCCCAGCACCATTTATTGAAGAGACTGTCGAAGATATGAACAGACACTTCTCCAATGAAGAGATACAAATGGCTATCAGACACATGAAAAAATGTTCATCATCACCAGCCATCAGGGAGATTCAAATTAAAACCACATTGAGATATCACCTTACACCAGTTAGAATGGCCAAAATTAGCAAGACAGGAAACAACATGTGTTGGAGGGGATGTGGAGAAAGGGCAATCCTCTTACACTGTTGGTGGGAATGCAACTTGGTGCAGCCTCTTTGGAGAACAGTGTGGAGATTCCTCAAGAAATTAAAAATAGAGCTTCCCTATGAACCTGCCATTGCACTACTGGGTATTTACCCCAAAGATACAGATGTAGGGAAAAGAAGGGCCATCTGTACCCCAATGTTTATAGCAGCAATGGCCATGGTCTCCAAACTGTGGAAAGAACCAGGATGCCCTTCAATGGACAAATGGATAAGGAAGATGTGGTCCATATACACTATGGAGTATTATGCCTCCATCAGAAAGGATGAGTACCCAACTTTTGTAGCAACATGGATGGGACTGGAAGAGATTATGCTGAGTGAAATAAGTCAAGCAGAGAGAGTCAATTATCATATGGTTTCACTTATTTGTGGAGCATAACAAATAGCATGGAGGACATGGGGAGTTAGGAGAAGGGACTTGGGGGAAATTGGAAAGGGAGGTGAACAATGAGAGACTATGGACTCTGAAAAACAATCTGAAGGGTTTGAAGAGGTGGGGGTGTGGGAGGTTGGGGGAACCAGGTGGTGGGTATTAGAGAGGGCACGGATTGCTTGGAGCACTGGGTGTGGTACAAAAACAATGAATACTGTTATGTTGAAAATAAATTTTAAAAAATGATTAATAAAAAAAAATCACTACTTTTTGTTCACTTAGCAGATAAAAGACTGACTAGCCAGCTCAATGATACTCTCCTCGTCTCCAGAATGATGATGGTGTGCTAGGTTCTGTGGTGTATATACACAGTAGGAAGACACCCCTTTTCTGAAGACACACTTAGTGAGTATTCTATAGTTCAGTGATGCTAAAGTATCCTGCAGGGCAAAATATGGTGGGTAAGTAGGCATTATTATTGTAATTTCAAGTAGTAATAAATATAAGTGCTGAGCATGTTTAAATATCATTTCATAAAGTCAGGCCCCTTTCAAGACTCGCAGCTTCTTTAACAACTAGATACTAAAAAAGAAACCAAACTCAGTATTTTTTAGGGCACACATGAAATCAGAGTACATTCCTTTGTAAAAATGCAAAACAATAAATGTAAATGCTGAAATGCAAAGTATTTGTGGAATGGTAAGATCTTTCTTGACCAATATCCCATTTATAGACAACCATCATTTAGACAAATCTACTTCAATATAAGTTAAGAAAGTCATATGAGGTCTGGAGCAAGATACACAGGTCCATAAATTAGAGTTGTTAGAAGGAGACCCCATAACAATCTTCCTTAAATGAAATTACCAACTGGGTTTTCAAAGAATGCAACTTTATCTGTGAAAATTAGTGTGTTCCTATGCTAATACTTTGTATTTTGATCTGGGACTCTGGAATGATAATATCCATGCCCGTAATTCTCTTTAGTAAGCTTAAGAACCATGGGAAAGTCACTTTCATGTGATGTTTGTTACTTTTTTCTCCAATAAGTTTAGACACAAGCATGTCTTTGTATGCTTATTTATAGTTAAATGAATTTCCAAGACTGTGGACTTGGAAGCTCTGGCTTCAGCCCTAAAATTCCTCATTTCTATTCTTTCCAGATTCCCTTACATACTTGAATGCAGCCTTGTATCTCTGTGGGAAAGCAGGGCCTCTCTTGGCAAGTAAAGCTGCCAGGTGAATCCACCCCTGAGGGGCGTGTCAGTACCATTTCCTGGAGCAATCTCACAGGGTGGCTCTACTTTTCATTTGCTCTCAATAATTTTGCTGCCTCCTCTGCAGCTGCCAGACCTGTTCCTGCTGCTGCTCAGGTAACTCTAACCTCTCCAGGGCACCACTACAGGCAGAGGGAGTTGATAAATGACTTGTACTTGTGCCTGCTTGCCTTCTTACCCTTATTCACCAGTGCTCTCTCTCTCTCTCTCTCTCTGTTCCACAGGGAGAGCGTCTGCGGAGTACCTTGCTGACCACTGAGAACATCATGAGCGCAAGCTATTGGAGTGAGATGAGCAGCAGCAGCTGTGGGACTCCACAGCCCCCAGAGGTGCTGCAGTGCCAGCCCCAGCATTACCACTGCTACCATCAGTCAAGCCAAACCCAGCACCCACCAGAAAAAAATGTAGTGTATGAGAGAGTGAGGACCTACAGTGGGCCCATGAACAAAGTTGTTCAGGCCTTGGACCCCATCAGCTCACAGGAAGTTCTCTCTCCACTCAAAACTGCCTCCTCCTACCAAAATTTGGTTTGGAGCAACCATTCTCAGGTACCATTAAGATAACTCTGTGTGATTTGTAGAGAGTGGATATCTTGAACCACATATATTTTCTTTCTGCTTCTCTGCCTCTGTTCTACAGGATGTTATCTTTTGGTGGATTGTAGCTATACAAGCAATGTATGGTCACTTAAATTCCATCTCTTGCTATACTTTTCTTTACTAGTGCCTGTGGTTGTTTAATGGCTCCAATGAGTTTAATGATCTAACTGGAGCATAAGATGACTCATTTTTTGTTGGATTTGATTGTAATATCTGATCTGGGGTATTCCCTTGCTCTTACCATAAAGCAATCCTCAACTTGAATACAATAACTTTTATAGACTAGTTCCCATTGATTCACTTTATTTCAGAAGTAAACAGATTTTTTAGATGAAATATGGTAGTTCAGAGATAATGGCTTATATGGAGTAATGAGCAGTTATTTGTGTTCAGCAAATAGTATGCAGTTGCTGGGTAAGTGACATGCACAAATATCTGTTCAAATTGTTGCATGTGTTTCATCTTGTGAAAATGACACACTGGTTCTTATACAGCCAAGGTGAATAATTCATGAATATTGGTAGAAAGAGGATTGAAAGAATAGATATAGGATTGAGGAAGGCAAGATGTAATCAATTGTTATATAAATGCTTAAAAAAGCAAAACTCTAAGACATTCTTTAAAACAAAATACAGTTATTTTTAAAAGGGTTATTTTAGCACCAGTATCTGTGCTAATAATCTTGTCAATGAATGTAAAGGAACACTGCAAGACTATAAAATAAGAGCTCTATGTCTATTTTCATTCTTTGAATCCCTTTACATTAAATTTGCATGACTTTAAGTTTTCTGGAAACATCTGTCCAAACTAAAATTATGTTTTCAAGATAAAATTTATACTGTAAAGAATTAAAAAAGTAACCATTGCGATAATATTATCTGATGTTCCATTATTTTACCAACCTGGAATAATATGGGTTATTTTTCCCAAAACCACAATTTAAAATAGGATATGAAGCAAAATTTCTAAAGTATATAATAAAACTATTTTAAAAGAATTTTTAAAGACAGATAAAAAGGCCACAATTTTACAGATATTTCATGCTTAGCTTAATTTGAGGGAAAAAATATGAAGAAAAAATCCAGGATTTACTGTCAGTAATTTCCTAACTGAAAAAACAAAAAACAAAAAACAAAAAAACAAAAACCTCCACCTGTATTGAAGTCAAAGGAAAGAAAAATACAAAGGGAAAAAATACTACTTTGCATAACTGATAAATAATAATGTGAATGTACATTCCAATATTTAGTATTAGGTTGTTAATGAACAGTAAAGTGGGTGTCATCTATGTTCCTTAGTAGCTCCAAAACAATACAAAACCTAGTTACCATTATTATAGAAATGTTAAAATCACCCTAACTATAATAGTTATTTAAAAACATTAACCTCTTGTCAACTTGCTAATAAAGACAGATAAAAATTTAACAGCAGAAACTTAACAAGTTACAAATAGTGACTACAGATCAAGTTTTAGGAGCCCTGTATTGTATTGTATTTAGTTCAACTTTCTTTTTTTAGTCCTCTCAGGACCAAGCTGATCAAGCTTTTTTATGTGGCTTTTTCTTCTTTCTACCTGATAATTATTAAAGTGATCCTTATAAAACTATCTCCATCCTGGGACACAGTTCCCCATAGAGGAGTTTATAAAGAACCCTAGGGACAGAAAATATGGCCACAAAAACTGGGATATGAGATTGGAATGGAGTGTTCTGAAGTCTGAAGTTATTATTGAAAAGAAAGAAAAATAAGGGCTGTGTGAAGATGAGGTAGGTGACGTATAGTAAAGGACAAACCAAGAAGTTTCATTCCCTTAGTGAAACAAGAAGAAAGAAAATTTGACTCTAAAATTACAAACTGAGTTAGATATCAAAGGGCATTCACAAATCCACTAAAAGATAATTTGGCAAGAAAGCTTTGAGATAGTTGTCACAAATAATGTGATGAAGAAACTCTTCTATTTTATTTTTCTTCCTCCTTGTTTCTTGGCAGGATGGTATTGTGTAAAGTAGAACTTAGATTTGATCTGAAATTACCTTCATAATGTAATGGGTAAGATGAGGCAGCAGCTTTATTATATGCCATGACAAGCACAAGCAAATAGTACATATTACTCAAAACCCTTTTTTGTTTGTTTATGTTTTAATAAAGTCTCTCTTTAATATGGCATGTTTTAAAAACATTTTGAGTTGGTATGTAGCAACTATTCTAATGTTAGAGCTTGTGATCCTTGCAGGTAGGAAAACGTGTATTATAATCAATTGTTGGTTATCATAAAGTCAGTCAAACTTTTACTTTGTCTGTTAGCATTTTGGTGTTTAGATAACATTCAGATAATTCATAAGATTTAAAAATATACATAAACTGGGGCACCTGGCTGGCTCAGTCGATAGATCATGAGACTCTTGATCTCAAGACTGAGTTCAAGCCCCATGATGGGCATGGAGCCTACATAAAAGAAAATAAAATATAAAAAATCTATAATTTTCAGTAGTATGATATGTTCCCTTTGAGAAACTGAAATTGGTGTCACTTTTCTTTGTTTCCTGATCTTAATTTTAGCTTATATAGTAGACATTTTAGATTTAACTAAATGTTTTTTGCAGCACTTTAATATTTTCTATTTCTGGCTTTTTTTTGAAGATTTTATGTATTTATTTGACAGAGAGAGATCACAAGTAGGCAGAGCAGCAGGCAGAGAAAGAGGGGGAAGCAGGCTCCCTGCTGACCAGAGACCGCCCCCTATGGGGGCTTGAAGCAGGCTTGATCCCAGGACTCTGAGACCATGACCTGAGCTGAAGGCAGAGGCTTAAATGAGCCACCCAGGTGCCCCTATTTCTTCTGGCTTTTTAGTATGTTTTTCCTTTATTGCCTTCTTGTGCACTACAATGGTATTTATAAATACAAACATATTTTAAATTTCTCCAGATATACTGTTGCTTTGTTTCTTGTCTATAATTAATAGATACATTTTATTATTCTCTCGGTTATTATTTTATCTGATTGCTAGATCAGAGAAAATTGAATGTAGAAAATAGTTGCTGGTGAAATCGCCTAAATTAATTCTAGGATTAAAATTACCAGGTTTGGGACGCCTGGGTGGCTCAGTTGGTTAAGCAGCTGCCTTCGGCTCAGGTCATGATCCCAGCGTCCTGGGATCGAGTCCCACATCGGACTCCTTGCTCATCGGGGAGCCTGCTTCTCCCTCTGCCTCTGCCTGCCATTCTGTCTGCCTGTGCTCGCTCTCTCTCCCTCTCTCTCTGACAAATAAATAAAATAAAATCTTTAAAATAAATAAATAAATAAAATTACCAGGTTTATCCATATAGACAGGTAAAATTAAACATGGGGTAATCAAGGGAATGGATGCATTTTTAAAACTAAATGCAGTCTTATAAATAAATGAAGTTCTAGAAACTACATAAAACAAAATAAAACAACTTACCACTCAGCCTTTTGAAAAGCTTAAATATTAACCGACCATCATTAACTCAAAATGAAATACTGCCTTAATGACTACCATTGATGTAAAATCACTCAACATATATACTTCCCATCCACCAATTAAGCTTTTCATGAAGTTCAAGGTATTTTCCACATATGCAAAGGAATTCTGTTGTGTGAGAGAGAACTGAATCAAAATAAAATATTTTTAATAGCAGTCTTTCATTGAATTTAATGTTTATTAAGTGCCTATTACATAGAAAGCACTGTGATTATTTGGATAAATACTACTGCCTTACCCCAGGGAGAGTCGACTTTGAGGATAGATGTGCAGGACCTGGTCTGTAAGTGTTCCATATGTCTATATTTCATTTTTAAATATTATTTTGTGCTTTGGGCCTCAGTATTTTATTGAACAAAACAAGTTTTATTTAAAGAAGGGATCTTATAATCTGTGTGTCATGTGGGTTACCATTCTTCTGAAGTTAAAACTTACAACCAAGTTTAACTCTAGAAAGCAGCTGGGGAGAATGTGTTTTATGTGTGTTATTGACAGCCTCTGCTATCAACAATTACTCAGCTTGGGTTTATCTTTGTTTACATGATTTTTTCCCCTTTTCTTTGGTTACAAAGATTGTGGATAGCTCCTTTGCTGTGCCAGGATTTCTATACACTATCAGAAAAATTTCCTGTTCTGCAGGGAGGAGTGTGTTGCTTTGATAAATTGTTGTTCAAGGGTGTGGTCACTAAAAGTGAATGATTGTTCAGGGAAGTAGGTTGTAGAAAAAGGAATGAGATCATAGGATAAAGAGGCCCATGTTTTCAACTTTGGTCAGCCCTTTTATGCTTGCAGTTAAAAGCTATAGAAATCGTGAATGCAACTAATTGCTGAGTAAAAATGCCCATGCCAATTGTCTCTTGTTTAAGGGAGGTTTGATAAATTGCAGGGCCTGTTTTCAGGCCATGACATTCACAAGCTGTCCGTGTGTGTGTGTGTGTGTGTGTGTGTGTGTGTGTGTGTGTGTGTGTGTGAGAGAGAGAGAGAGAGAGAGAGAGAGAGAGATAAGGTGGGAAAAGGAGATAGGGCAAGGGGAAAGGAGGTGAACTGGTCCTTTAACTGCTGTGATCCAAATTTCTTTTCTTGACAATTCATGGTAAAACAACTGGGAGATTTGTCATGCTCTTAAATCCCATTCATTTTTATTTAAATTTTTTTATTTGACTATAGTTGACACACAATGTTCCATTAGTTTCAGGCATACTAATAGTAACTCAAGTTCTCCGTACATTATGCTATGCTTACCACAATACAGCTACAATCTGCCCCCATACGTTATTACAATATCATTGACCTTAACTCCTATGCTGTGACTTATTCATTCTGTAACTGGGAGCCTGTATCTCCCATTCCCCTTTACGCATTTTGTCTATACTCTCACACCTCTTCTCTCTTGCAACCATCAATTTGTTCTTTGTATTTATGTCTGATTCTGCTTTTTGTTTGTTAA